ACAAGAGCTCGGCTACCAGGTTGGGTGTGTCAGGCTGAAGGGTTGGCGAGTGTTGTGTCTACAGCTCAACTCTGGCAGCGACTAGGGACGAGTTCAAAATCATTCTCGCAGACTAACTGATTTCCATATGGTGATACTAACTCCATCTGGCATATTGGGTCCCAAGACCCGTATACATATCCCCTGCTCTGATAGAATGCTTATGTTTCCATAGTCCAGCACTGTAACTGCACAGGCAGCACCAAGTGGACACCTTACTATACCCGTACCCATAGGCAGGCAATGTATCACAGCAGAACTAAAATTAAATGCTGAGGACTCCATGAGACATAGAACACGATTTCTGGAGAAGGTTATAGCTTCCAGGCTGTTGTTTCCAAGAGCGACTCAGTATCAGAATGAAATTAGAGCACCGCCACCGTGACAAAGGCACGCCGAAACAGTGGCATAATTCTATACGAAACAACTCATGTCCATGGTTCTAGTAAATGTTCTCACTTCGCTGCCCTTATGCAGCCTCATGCAGCGCTCCACCCATAAACGGAAACATCACATCACCGAAACTAGCCAAAAGCCGCAAACATGATACTACGATCCAACGGGCTAGAAGTATCAATACACATAATTCGAATACGCCTAAGGTCACATCCTGTAGGCGTTCGACTAGAAAAACCCTGGAAACACTCTGGTAAGAGCAGCAGCGGACTCCACAATCGCCAAAGGATCACCTGTATCCACTAGCAAACATGCCTGTAAAAATGGCTGGTTTCTGTTCCAGAAATAAATTATTATTATTATGTCAGCGTGACACAAATCAATCAAACACTGACGCAGCCCAAGGCTATCAACCTTCGAAAGCGGCCGGAGACAAAATATAAATTCAAAGTCAGTCGATCAAACTGCCTTATCCTACTTGACTTGCTAGGGTGCAATAGTAGTCTGCTCGAACAAAGGTCACTGTTTGATCGGAAACACCGCTGTAACTTTGTGCAGTTAATTAGGGTTTGGTATAAAGTCAGTAAAGCTGCGTAAACTGTTCAGAGGTTTTGGGTACCTCACCGTAAGCCACCTGCATTAAGGGTGACAGAGCACTGCCATCGACGCTGAAAAGATATTACTACTGTTACAAATACTAGCTATCAGCAGGAGCTGTAAAATAAGAGTAAGATCTGATAAGCCATGGGCAGAGAGGCGAATGGCAGGGCAGCCACCGGAACTAATGCTCCCCACCTTCATGGTTATACGCTGTGTTCCAGAGCTGGAGACTGACACTACTTGTACAAAACACCTGGATGATGTATAGCAATGTAGATATCTATCATCTCAGATGACTCATGGTGATTCCGGAGGTAATCTAGACTTGTGGACTACCTCTTCCCGCTCATCTCGCACCGATCAGTTCCCTAAGGCTACTAGATGGCAGATCCAGCTCCCTTGAGTGGTAGGCCATAGTGCTTTAACAGTGGTAGTAGGCCAAGGCTAGAATCGAAAGATATATCCGATAATGCGAAAGTCTACGTCGAAGCCTAAGGAAGCAGCAGTCCGAGGTGAAAATATGTCCCCACGCCTCAGTGACACTGCAGCTGTTCAGCACTGAGAATGACAACCAACATCACCCAAGTCTCCTAGGTGGACCCTGAGGAATCGACCAACTGGTTCCAATGTCAAATCCTATACCAGCAGCCTACATAGAGTCAACTACTCCAGGGCCCGCTGAGGTGGTGAAACTCATTGCCAGCTACCTGTGTAGGAATGTGTGATGACTGATAGGAAGTGTAGGTGAGCTCAGAAAACTGCAGTCACACGTACACCTTCAAACAATTATCCTGACTGAAACCTGACTAACCCCTACTATTGCGAACAATGAAATCAGTATCAGTGATATGGTTCTGGTCAGGTGAGACAAGGATAACAAGGAAGGGGGAGTTGCCATTTACTTTGGCAAGCAACTTAAATGAGTACTTGCAGCCCACCTCTTACTGAACACACAGACTATATTTGGTGTCACTACACTTTGGGCCCCAACAAGCATTTATTAGGACGCATCTATCGATCACCAATCTGTGGGGCAGAACACAACCAGCTACTGCTCAGCACTGGGCTGCGACAAAATCACTATAGCTGCAGACTTCAATGCCCCATCCCCTAACCTTGGCCCGGGGTATGCTCAAGGAAAATTCGGTCGAAATATAATGCAAACCATTAAAAATGCAGGACCGACTGAGAATGTTGGAGACGGTTGTAGGTGGGGGCCCAATGGACAGTCAACAAAACTGGATTATGTCCTAACTAGTGACCAGTTACTAGTCTAAATCGTCGAAATCACGACCACGCGGCCATTGTGTCTGATATCGTCCTTTGTCGGCGTTTACAGTGGGATGCCACGCCACCCTGTTTGTGCTGTGGCAAAGCCGACCACATCAAAATGCAAAGGCTTTTGTCCGACGCAGAATGCACCATAGACTGGGCTGAGTTATCCGTAGAGGACGTATATGCAGTGGTAAAAGGGATTAATCATACAGTGAGCTCACATATCGTCCTTCTAGTCACAATACATCTTAGGAAACAGTCCTCATGGCTGAAAAATAGTATTCTGCAAAAATAGCAGAAAGCTTGGTCTTCGTATCAAATCTCGAAGGGTCACACTGACCAAACCCACACCTGGAAATCAGGAACCGAAGCAAAACAAGAGGCAGAGGTGACAAGGGGGCACTTCAGGTAAATCTTGTCAGAAAACTGCTGGCAAGTACCAAAAGACTGTACCGATTCATGTAGGAGAGAAAACCTACCAACTATGCGGCATGCGTCTTAGTAGATCCAAATGGTCAATATCTAACTAGATTGAAAATGTATGAAACATTCAGCAGTCTGGTTATTAATGCTTCAGGCCAGAAAGACTGCAATGCTATTTTACCAAGAGGAAATCCACTGGCTAATCTTCAGATGGACCCCGCAATGTTACTAGCGAAGTTGTAGAAACTGGCATCTGGAAAGTCCCCAGGTTGTGACGATATCGGGCCACGTGTTCTAAAGCAGAGTACTGAAGCTGTCTGTGAGCTCTTGCGCAGCCTGTTCCGACATTCGGTGGATTTTGGGAAACTGCCAAGGAGGTGCAGGAGAGCTATCCTTTCTCCCATTTTCAGGGATGGTAATAGACAAAATGCCATGAGTTATGAACCAGCAGCACTACTCTCAACCGTATCCAAAGTACTTGACGTTCTGGTTGATGATAACATCAGAGAAAACTCCGACAGGACTCCGTAAAGCACAACATGGTTTCAGGAGAGGTAGATCCTGCGAGACATGTGATCTTCCTAGACTTTAAGAAGACGCTTGGAACAGTTCGCCATGACCTCCTATACAAAATAAGTCAGGCAGTTATAAGTGGGCCGCTTCTGTCATGGTTGGAGGACTACCTAGATGAAGGAAAATTCCAAACTGAGATCAGTTGCAGCGCTCCATAGGTCTAGTTCTGGGACAGAAAATGGACACAAGCGTGAATTACGTGGGAGATATAGCAAGGTCATATGTGGTCATAAACTTTACACATAGTTAGGTGCTGTCACTCCTGCGCTCTTCCTATGGTTGTACAAAACATACGAAAGACCGTACCGTGAAGTGCACATTATCGCTGCTCTGCAGCTAATTTGAAGAGACGCCAAACGTTTAGGGGACGGGAGACCTAAGAGATGGTGGGTCTCCGAAATAAACCATATGATGAACGGCTGAAGAAGTTAGGTCTCTTCATACTTACCTACCGTCGGCTTAGAGAGAACTTGATTACTACCTATAAGATTACGGATGACCAGAATCACCCAAACGGAGGTATTCTGTCATTAACTACGTATGGGCTTCCTCGTGGTAATCCCAGAAGGACAGCTCGCCCAAGGGCGAAGACTTGAGTGCTCTCTCACTTCTTTTCACTGCGGGCTTGCCGTCCCTGGAACACTTCACTGGCAGATGTGGCTATTGCACACTCCATAGGAAGCTGTAATTGGAGACTGGACAGTCATGCACCGACAAAGGACTGTGTCCAAATGGCCTATCCCCTTAGAACTCACACACTATCAGCCGATATGGACCTAAAATCATCGTTTTACTTCTTCATATTCTCTCTTGTCTTATCCTTCTGACTACTCCAACTATTATTTCCCTTATAACTGATATATATGTGGATAACAATTTAAAATTTCATTAACATTCTGTTTCTATGTTTTCTTTCTTTTCTTTTTAAGTCTTCATAATCCACACAAATTATGTCTGTTTTTAATACTGTTATCTCCCTTTTCGACCACACCGGACGACTAACGGGTGGTAGGATCAGCTACATTCACAGTACCGACACAGTCCTTACCACATACTACAAACCACATATAATCAATCCCAGAACCACTCCTTTTAGAGTGAACCAAAACTTCACCAGTAGAGTGGCAGGATGAACTTGCAACCAAGAAGCGAGCACAAAGAAATGGAAATAGTTTAAACTAGTTTGTAAAAACGACATTGGATATTGGATGCCGAAGTTTATCGAAGATCAAAAGCCTTCACCTTACAACCAATAATTGACCACAGGGGAATCAGTCTGACTGATACTAACTGGTAAAAGCGATACCGGAAACGAGGAAAGATTGATTAGTTTGAATCTCTTCTCCATATCAGACCATAAGCAGAGTGCAGATATCATCAGAAAGTTCAAAATTGAGTGAATTTGGACCTGATATATCTCCTTGCTTCCTATTCATTAGGTGATAAAATCGCAAAGGACGTAGTAGGAGAGTTCCTAAGCCAAGGAGTACTGGTTATCCCATAGAGCCATACACCTCCAAACACTCTTGGAACCGACTCCCAGAAGAACTGGTGCCTGCACCCTCAGTCAGCATGTCCATAAAGGAATTGAATGGGCGTAAATACTAGTTAAAAAAGGATTATTTCTGGCTTGAAGATTCCTATCCTCAATCAAAACTCTGAATCTCTCCTCTGTCCTTGACTAACAGCGCACAGTATGGTTTACGGCGGGTTGACGATGAAAGTCTAGTGTTGCGAGGAAAAGGGCTAAGATGGCTAAAAATGGTGAAAGGAAGAAGCCCGATATCTCACTTTTCCACCGAATCGTTGCTTCTTCGGTTGGTGGGATAATGACAGCTTTTGTTATGACACCCCTAGACGTCTTGAAAGTGCGGATGCAGGTAACACGCATAATCTAGTTTTTAAAAAAATTGTTGATAGTCCCACCGAGTGTATTCGGATAGCAAATGTCTTACTTATTGCAATGGGCTAATAGAAAGGCTTTGCACATGCTCACTTAGTCCTAACACGTGCGCTGTCTCGTGGTCAAAAAATGCTATGAAATGTTCTGGCAGATGGAATTGGTTTACCTCCAATGAATCTCACGCTTGTTCCACATGTATCCTGCATTCTGAAAATCCATCCTTTGTCACTTTCTATCGGCGTACCCCAAGCGCTACAGTAAGTCTGGTCCTTTGAAATGTCTTGTACTGTTCACAATGCTGCAATTGTCTTTTTATTAACTCCTATGACCCAATGTGTATATTCCGTGTTCACAATGTCTCAGGATTAGGACAAGGTGACAGTTAACTACTAAATTTAACAACACTTTAAATATTTTTTAAAAGTGAAGGCAGTGTGGTAATAGCCAATTTTAAATAAAACCTCGGATATATGATCAATAAGGAAATTTTGTCAGGTCATGCTTATTCACTTATTCCCAAATAAAAGATTTTGAGGTGATTTCGAGTCGTTTTGGGGAGGTGAGTGAAGCATTTCCCCAAGGAATTTTCACTGAGTTGCCCCGGAATTTTTCATTTAGGTCATGTTATAAAATGATCTTTGTGGTCGTATTAAATTCCACACTTCATGATTTCTGCGGATAATTCTGACGATCTGATGTGTTAAGTGAGAAAAATAGACGGTTCCATAGTAGAATCAGACCTAGGGAAAATGTCTCATTACATTGTTTGGTTTATTCCCTGTTAATGGAGGCAGTGTAGTTTGTTTAGAGGTTGGTACAAAGCAACTACTAGATTGGATTCACTAAGAAATCTAGTATCTGTATTAATGGACACCGGATGACTAAACAATATGAAGGATTATATTTGTGGAGAAACTGGTTCAAAGCTAGAAATTAGTGACTAATAGTAAAAGTAATAACTTGGTTCTTAGATATTGGTTGCACTGAAGAGTTCTGGTACGTTGATTTACCTATCATACTGTTGTCAATGTATTGAGTTTTTCTAACTTCCAAAGTTTTAATGCCTACGCCATCGGTTATTTTCGGAATGATAGACAATTTCACTAGGAATCTAACTTAGTGTTACTGTAAGATTTATAATGATAATAATTTGCTTTATTCCAAAAGATTAGTACTTATGATACAGTGTGGAATTTTCAGCATTTCGTACAATATTACATCAAATTTACTCGACAACAACAAAAATAAAAAAAAGTGACATTACGGGATTACTAATCGCAACTGTATTGGTATTTGCAGTTACAGTTAAGTCAAAATTGTACAAAAGTGTAAAATAATGTTAATAGCTAAAATTATAAGTTAATTTTAATAGTGTCACCCTAAATTGCAAATAGGAGAAAATAAGATAGGCAATTATTTTGCTAGTAAAATAGTAATTCGTAGGTTTCGCGCCTAACACTCTTTGGAACATAGGACGCGGGTCAGTTATGGTATCGTTGAGTTTTTGTGCTTCATTGTACGAGCATATAATCTTTTTTACTGACTTCTAGTCCAAACTGATGACATACAAGGCGGAGGGAGTTGAGAATAGAAACGGTATGTTAAGAGTCAGACAATGTGGATTCAAACCATTTCTCATATGAGTTCAGGTAGATGTCTGTCGACTCCAGTAGTAAGGAGCTGACTTATTGGCACACCTTTTTCCCTACTGACAACCTTTAAAACTCTTCCCCTCAATATGACATAGTCATTTTTGAGTAATCCGCGAGATACTAAGTGGTAGCAGTTAAGTATAATGCATAAAATGCAAGAGTTAACAAATTGCAAGAGTAGAAATTGAGTGATACCTATCTGACTGTTTTGACTTCCTAGTGTAGTAGGTTAGCCGGAACACTTTCCTATCTGCTGGTGACGTTCTGAACATAAATTATTACTCATAATAACCATATTAATATGAGTATGTACCAAACGTACTGTATCATTCATGGCCTACGAACTGCCTAAGTATTCCTAGACCCTAGTTTGTTAGTCAAAATAATTTGTTAAATGACAAGCACAACTCAGTAGTAACCTACTTTCACTGGTCAAAACGCGATCACCACTCTTCATTTACTAAAGACATGCATAGGAGAATGTTCCATTCAATAGTATCTTCCTTCATGATTCGGTAAAGGCCAAGTGAAATCTATAAGAAGTCCTATTTTGTCTCATTTGGTCGATAGTGGTCACCAAGTGTGGACAGAAGCAATGTCTTCAAAGTTATCTATCGCATTCTAGCGAACCTTTCGAATCTGCCTTTTACACATAGCCGAAGCTATAGGAATTCGAGAGAACAATCCTAGTCTTTGCATAATACAGAAGTTTGTTCTAACTCTGTCTCTGCCTCGGCGTAGGTGAATCATAATCAAAACCCTCCCACCCTCGCTTACTTTCTATTTCCTTCGTACTTCTATGATACTTATTTAAACTGTGATTATCAGTCCACTTCATCTTGATTATTACGTAACCTTTAAGATTTGGCCTAATTATTTACTCATTGAATTGTCTACATATACACATATTACTGACTTTGTTATTCTTATCGCCACATGCATAAATCTAATTATTATTTTTTTATCATTACAATCACCATTACTACTGACATTCCATAAATTTAACACATTATTATAATTTGATCCACAAACTCGCTGTCATTGGTTAAATTTTTTCTTATATATAAAGCTATGTAAATCAGAGTAAAGCCTGAAAAAGATCTAATTAAAATCAACTATATTGTTCGCTTATATGTCTTGTGCTAATAGTATCTTTCTGTAACATTCCTGAGTTATTTCGGAGGATAAACCTAAGAAGTTTTGAATGTGATGTGGCACTTTTAATTATGTTTTAAATTTCATTAGTTTTTCAATTTGTGAGTCTTCGTTTTAGAAATACATCTGTACAGGGTTCTACAGATAGTATATATTGTCATATTTTAAGAGCACAATATTTAATGAACGGATTCTTCCAAGAATTCATAATTCAGCTGTGCGAACGTATATCTAAATATATGTATATGTGGTGTCTTAGCAAGAGTATCCCAAGAGGAAATATAAATAAAAGGTGTACAAACTTATAATAATAATGTGGAATTCTATAAGATGTTTTTAATCATAATCATAGTTCAAAATAAACTGACTGACTGGTTTCAGCGTAGAACACTGCACAGATGTGCTGCAGTTCGAATTGCCACACTCCCTCCGTGTACCACACAAAGCAACAGAAGAGAGTGAAGACAGGTTCAAAAGAGAGATAATAAACAGAAGTGTGAGTGAGGGAAAAGGAATAGTTAATTACTATTAATGTGGAAAAATAATAGAGTTTTATTGTTTATAACAATTCACAAACAGTGAATGCATCTGCGCCATCATTGACAACGAGGATTTTGAGCCATATCACCAATTGTCTTCAGTCGTCAGTGCTTCTTACCATCCCGCGGATCACAACCAGCCAAGCAGTCTACACATCCCAACGTGGCTGGCTCAAACTAACTGTTGTGGATTTCATTGACTGATGAATCCATGTTTTAGTGTGACCACCACTAGCTCTTTTCTAACCTGATTGATCCTATGTCAACTAAGGTTGACTATCGAGGAAGGCATTGACTAAAGATGCATGCATAACACATGTCCTAACCATGTCAATCGATGTAACTTCACAACCTTGTCAATTGATCTTCCCTTTTCACCTAACACTCGACTGAAGCCTAATTTCAATATTGCTCACCCTATTATGCCACCTAACACGGAATGTAAGTAATACGCAGACACCTATGATAAAAGACAGCCAACCAGGCTGTTCATTTCTTCCACTTTCAATGTCCATGCCTCACTCACAGCCATAAAGGAGGAGTTCGGAGCAAAGTTGTGAGCAGCACACACGTTCTTTGATCGATAAGAAGAAGTTTGATGAAATAGATTGTAACATTGCAAAAATGCATCTTACCTTAAAAATAATAAGTGAGAGAAGGGAAATAGTATCAAAAACTGTTCGAAACGAAAAATAAGCGTAATGATATTTTTTTATCTTACGACTAAGGTTGAAAAATACTTGGGCTGTGCATACCTCTTTTGTACACAAAGATCTGGCTTAAATTCAGTGAATAGCCAAGGCCTCCGCTATCTTCAAAAGTTTAGAATGAAATTAGCCTGGATTCTATAGATGATCTTACAATAAATCATGGTAAAGGTTAATTGAGTGACACAGGTCGATCAGGTGTTTTAGAATAGAACTTCCTTCCTTTTTGACGGCTCTGGATAAATGTCTCCTTTTGGTTACCTAGTTCCCAGCGACTACATTCCGTTCAGTGCTCTGAGTATCAGCGTGAAGAAACTCATCTAGGCATGGGTAATAGCGGAACCGAGAGTCGCCTCTTCGTGGCGCTCGCTAGGCAGGATTCAGTTTACTGGGCCCAAGCTAAGCACTACCGGAAGCGTCTGGCTAATCAGCTCAAATGGATGGTTCAGGAAAACCCCTTAGGCTTAATGTAGACTACGGGGGTCCGGACGACACAGGTCTGTCTGTCTGGATTCAACATAGAACTTGGCACCGAAGTGCAGCAGTTTGAATTACCACATTCTAAATAGCACACACAGGTGGACAAGAAAATGAGTGAAGAGAATCAATAGAGTTTTGACAAGTATAAGGGTGAAACAAAATGAGTAATGGTAGAAAGGAATATGAAAGATTCCAGAGACTGAATACATCTGCTTAAGCCATTGACAACGATTTTGAGCCATGTCACCTGGGAGTTTGGGTGAGGGGGCTGGGACCATTTTAACTTGTGACTCACGACCAGCGCGGGTTGCCGTGGATAGCTTGGTAACCCCATCACTGATTGCTGGAGGGGTATTTGGCATGATGGCCAGTCAGAAGTGGTGTTCATACAAGTGGGAATTAGATTGACAATCGGGATCTTGTATCCACAAGGAAGGGTATGCTGTCTCCAGTGCTGAAGGGTCCTGTAGTGCACAACAGAGCAGCAATGTTTTCAGAGACAAGTGTTCTGGGGTACTATCAATCACTGTATCAGCTTGCATCACGAGTAAAAAGATGTACGATCTACCCCTTGTCTATGGTGTTGTTGGTATTAGCAGTAATCCCAGGTGACATATGTAAAACTCCATTAAAACTCCCTTGCTTTTTTCCCTTGTAAAATCACGCTGTTATGGCTTTTTCAAGTTGTATGGCATTTAATATCAATAACTGTATTATTCAAAATGGTTGTTATCTATTCTAGTGAAGCTTTTTGTGTTGTTTTTTTTCCTTTTTTGTGATGCTTATCTTCTCTAAAGGTTACACTGATGAAAATTATTCGCAATGAAGGTATTTTATCACTGTGGAGTGGACTTTCACCAACACTGTAAGTTGATATCTCATTAACTGACACGTCCTCCTCTGTACTTTAGTGTAATGACTCTTCCCCAGACTGTTATCTACTTTACTGTTAATGATTGGTTAAAACATCAAGTTGGATATACTTCGAAAACCAGGCATAATAAATCAATGCCAGAAAATATAACTGAACAGAATTACGCCTCGGCTAAGCATTTTATCCCACCATTAGTTGGTGGTGTATCCCGAGTATTTGCTGTAATGGCTATCTCACCAATTGAATTGTTACGAACAAAAATGCAAGCGAAGAAAATACCCTACCGAGAAATAACAACATTGCTTGTTACAACAGTGAAACAGGTATCTATATATGTACATATATATTTTGTATTTTTAAGCTCATTTTACTCTTTTTCAATGAATGGGGTTTCTCTTTATGTTCTGCGACTACATATATATCTGTCTGTTTTTGGTATAGAACTTAGCACCGATGTGCAGCAATTCAAGTCGCCACACCCGACTGATAGCCGCTACCTAGACGTGGTGGTCGGGCTTGCACATCGCGATGACCCAACAAGCTAAACTGGCTGGAACTATTGTTCCTGCAGGTCCATGGTAGGCCATGTCAGGAAGGTTGTTAGGATAGCGATTAGATTAAAAGCAGTTACCGGCATAGTGTAAGAAATTTTATTTTACATTGTGCTGGGGATCTGTGGGCAAAGTCGTACTGCTGGAGATCAGGATTGTAACAGCAGTGAGGTGTTTCCCTCAGATGACCAGCATGCCAGCTATGCTGTCTCCCCACTCTGGAGAGAGGGGGTTAGAAAAGGTGGACCCCAACAATTGTACATCCGTCCGTAACCGGCGGTAAATTTACTAATACGGAACCAAACCAAGAAACCAGTTCAGACAGGCCGTGTGTGCGTGAACGGCCTCAACCAGTTGTCCCCTAGACTCTACGGTCACGCAAGACTAACCCTCTTTCTGTTTCAGGTACCCAAAGAATCAATCAAATTCCAAGATGTGAGCAGCCGGGAAGTAACAACCGCCCACACACTTCCAAAAGCACACGAAGCCTCCCTAAGCATGATATATATATTGCACTTCCAATGCTGAGACCACGTTTGGCTGCCTCAACGAACTTCCTTTGACTACTCCATTATAGATAAGATTTTATTTTAATAAATCACACAGTGTTATACAGTAATATTAACTGATATATTAATATTACTGTATAACACATGGTGTGATTTATCAAAATAAAATCTTATCTATAATGGAATTATACTCTACCACAGTGCCCAAGTTTTATACTTATATCAATATTACTTTGACTACGGTTGTAACTGGTAGCTTCTTTGTTGCTATGAGACAAAGGGAACATAGGCTACTACCATTTAAAGAAAGACAATTTTGGAAATTGTTTAAGAGTCGTCTTCAAGCCTCGGTATCTAATCTTTGACACACTTCATCGCCACAATTAAGTACCAAAAACTTACAGAGAAAAAATACCAAACCATTTTCATACCTATCCTGAGCTTATAAATCTTCGAAAA